AATCATGAATTTTATAATACGAATGCCAACAGTTAAATATTACATTTAGAAGGCTCATACAATAAGACACTTACAGCACATTCTCTTTGCAGATGGGCCATTTCGAAGTAAATCCTCATCGCAAAACGTCCCAAAAGGCACTTGGGTCCGTATCTCAAAAAGCTGAAGTTACGAATTATTTGATGATAAGAACAATCACGGATGCAGTCGTTATTCCCGCTGCCATGTCTAGCAAAGCGCTCACCCGCTCCTCTTCATCTTCTTCTATATCAGGAATCTTTGGTGGATTTCTGGCGGAGAATTCATCCATGGAGCTGATGATGCCAGATACCACATCATGTGAGGGACTAAAACAATTCTGACATTGATATTTGCTTCTTTATGGTTTCTTTGGAACACGGCACTACCGCGGCAACCGCTATTTTTATTGCATGGGGGCGTGGCCTTTGTCGTGTCACAATGGCCACGCCCCCGCGACTGCGATGGCAAAAACCAGCGGCGACAGTGGCGTAGAAGAAGCCCACTAACTGCTAGATGCGAGTGAGAGTACAAGGAAAATCGCAAGCAAATATGAAGAGTGAAAACGGAAAGCTCACGGTTTAGCGGTGGAAGTCGGGGTGGAAGTCGGTTTGCGTTCCACGGGTTTTCGATGAGGTAGCGGCTGTAAATTTATATACAGTCATGACATGAAAATTCGGAAAGAATGCTAGAAAATTTTTAATAGGAAACTCTGGAGTAAAGAAACGAATTATGTGAAAGAACTTACGGGAGGCACAATGATCCTTCGAGGAGGATGATGAGTTGCTGGTGCAACTGGGGTTGAAGTGGATATAGGCTTAGGCGTCTGAAGCTTTTTCGCTGGTGGTGGCTCCTTGACAGGGGTAGCAGGCTCAGGATCAGGCGATCGTGGGACATTCTGAAATCACGACATTAGTCCATGAATATCGCTTTACTGATACCACAGACTATAGAACCTACATCCTCGATGATCTCGGCATCCTTTGCGCTACTAGAACTTTCAGTGGGTATGATGACAGGAGGAGGTGTATACTCGGGTCTGGACTTCAACTTCTCGCGTAAACTATTCACTGGAATAGGGTTAGCCTATATGTACATTTTTGGAAAGCAGTGTACAGGCAGGATTTTGTTTTCCAGTTTTTCACCTTTTTGGGGGCCTCCTCGCATGAGGAACCCATATTTGGACTTTCCAGCGCATGAAAATGGCAAAAATGACCTTTTCTCGAAGCTTTCCAAGTCCACATTCAGTGAAAAATACGCGTGAGTGGGCGGAGTCCAAAACAAGGGAGGCGAGGCGCGGAAGACTTCCGGCGTAATTTCATTGAATGCGAACCACCAACACCTTGAAAAAGGCTCATTTTTGCCATTTTCAGGCGCGGTAAAGCCGAGACATGGGTTCCTTATGGCGAGGAACTTCCGAGAAGGTAAATACTGGAAAACGAAATTCTGCCCGGACACTGCCTTTGAATACCGAAAAATACACCACGGGTGGAAGAGGAAGCTCGCATGGACCCGTGTCAGAGTGATGTCAAGCGGTACCCTCCATGCTCGCCTACCCAGACCCCACCTGCCAATTTATGCACTAAATCCTGAGAACGCAATTCAAAATCCCACAGTTCACGCCCAATCAACACGATTGCCAGGCTGGTGGGACTCTGAAGCGCCTCAGAATTTAGAGCATGAATTGAAAAGTAGGATTTGGGTTACGGTTTACTTGGAGGAACTACTACCTGACACCACCAAACAAACACCAAAAGTAGGTTCTAATACATGATCGCATATAGATGTCTTCGATTACTCACCATAACTATTGTAAGCCTTTCTTGAGATCGTCTCTTTAGAATCCATTCGATAAGTAGCATACGTATTGAGGCAAGAGTCGATGACATTCTCCCTAAAACACTTCCACATCAACAAGAAAGGCGAGACTAGCAGAACTTACCAATCCTGATCCACAGCAAAAGGACGTCTATCGAAAACTGCTCGAGCAAATTCTTGCATGGTCCCTTTATGTTGGAAGGCGAAAGCTAAAGATTAAGCGACTTTCGAAACAGAATAATGAAAACTTTGGAAGATAGGAATAATTACATTGCAGTTCTTCAAGTCTCTCCATTTGTTTCTCCATCTTCGCTTCCAGATCTTCCTCAGAAACCTCGTAGAGTGGCCTTTCTTCAATTTTCCACTTTCGTTCTCTACATTTGGCTGCGAACAAGCTGGATTGTTTTGCAATGTGCGCACGCAGCTCAGGATCAGACACTCTCCCTAAAAAGCCATATATTTCAGTCAACGACAGAGCTACAGCGATTTCTCACCTTTCGGCTCCAGTACTGAGAATTTGGTGCTGCTGAAACAAAAGTAGTAAAAATGATGGAACTTGTACGGCAATATTTTGCCAAAAAAGTCCAGATCCGGCAATACTGCTCTATCTCAAAAAATCTAGACGATTTTCAGGTCCCAAACATCCTTACCATTTCGCTTTAGCCGTATCATTCCCATCGCTGTCCAACTCTGAAGTTTCCTCCTCTACGATACCGTTTTCAATCTTCTTCTCAATTTCTATAAGAAGAAAATCAGGCTACCTAGTGGACTATCTAAAAAACCTTTGAGCTATAAAAAAAAGTTGGAACAAAGATTACCTTCCAAGGGAATGGACAGTGGTGGCCTGACTGGAGGTTTACCACGTCCCTCTGGAGTGTTTCTGAGGCTGAAAAAATGCGTAAAAGTTCTCCTCTAAATAAGGATGCAAAGAAAACTACGAATTCCAAGCTTAAAGGCAGTGTCCGCTCAGATTTGGAGCTCCTCAGTT